GGAAACAGAGTAAAGCCTCACGGGGTCCTTGATGGGAAGGGAAGAGTTGGCAGTCCGGATTATTTCCGTGTCGACGGGAGTCTTAGAGTCGGTGACAGATAGTTTCTTGAGGGGAACCCCTGAGGATGAGGTTCCCAAGAGAAATCCTATTCCTGATACTCTAGTATGAATAGAGTTGATACTGGGCAGGCAGTGTGATGTAGTGGTTAAAGTGTCAGATGATCACTGGGGAGGTTTGGGTTCAAATCCTCTCTCAGCCATGAAGTTTACTAGGTAACCTTGGAGCAGTCACTCTCCCTCAGTCTGACCTACCTCACAGGGAACCCTGACCGGGATAGCCCAGGCTAACCTGATCCTGTCAGATCTCAGAAGCTAAGCAGGGTCGACCTTGGCTAGTATTTGGAAGGGCCACCTCCAAGGAATACCAGGGGCATGACGCAGAGGCAGGCAATGGCAAACCACCTCTGAAACTTCTCTTGCCTTAAAAATAAGTCGAGCTCACCACCTAGTGGTGCATAAGCTAGACACTGGTTCCCAAAGTGGGCAATACCAACTCCTGAGGGTGCTGGAATGATCCAGGTGGGTGGTCGGAGCCTTGGGTGCAATTGGGTGACATTGAATACAATAAGGGGGTGGTGGAAGCATAAAGAAAGAAAAGTCCAGAACCTATATAAAGCAGCCTTTTGGCGGTAGGCCAAATAATTTTGGGAACCTATGATAGAACTTCTGGCTGCCAGACAATCTTAGGATCTCCTGGCTATACTACACACACTGGCATATGGTAATTATTATTATTATAATTTCCTCACAGGATTGTTGTAAGGACAAAGGGGGGGGGGATCGGAGAACTATATATACTGTTCCGAGATCCCTGTGTATAGACGGATAGGTTTTATTAAAAATATAATTCATTAATTCAGGTTTATCACTCACTTCACCGCTCACCTAGGATTGCCAAGGCTGTTTTATGACAAAATTCATAGGAGGGGGAAAAAAGAGTAAACTATTGGCATGAATCCCCCAACAGCCTTTTAAGTTCTGTTCTCACTTCCATTTCCCCCAAAGCACCTTCCTTTTTGGGCATGCTTGTCACTTTCCTTTTGAAAATAATTTATATCCAAGTTCTAGAAGCAAGAGTGAGGGACCTGGTTTTTAAGGCTGCAGAAGAACATGGAGTCCCTGAGCTGTATATCTCCAAGGCGAAGAAGCTGTGCATTCCCTGAGCTTGAGGCCCAGGGCTAAGGCAGAGGCTCCCTATAAGTCCTCCCCTCCACAAATGTGACTCCCTGCGGAGTTACAGCAGGTTCACAAAAATTAATCTTGGCTCTAAAAACAGATATTGAACAGAAAAAGAAACCTTATGGAAAGGCTAGGCAAAGTGGACCACGTGCAATGCATGTAGAATAATATTGATAATAATCCTGGCATTCAAATGTCTGTTTCCCTGCAGTTTACCCAGTCTCCGCCCCTTGCTAGATGTTAACTATTTGCCCGTAATGGACATGAGGATCGCTCGGACCTTTTGTTTCACCAACGAGGGACAAGCCTTGTATCTCGGTTCTCCTACAGAAATCCAGCGACTGACCTTCAGCCAAGAGATGTGTGACAATCTGCAGGTGAGTCGTCTCTTCACACGTTACGGAGCACACAGGTTGGGTCTTGGGGTTCCCATAGGGTTGCCAGGTCCTTACCTTCTGCCGGCGGGGGGCTCCAGCCTGTTCCCTTGGATCTTCTGGTCACCATAGAGTTTTTAGCCAAATACTAGAGCATCCTCCGCATGACGTGCCTAGCGCAATGGCATCACTTCCGGGTGATGTCATCACACCGGCCACTTCAGGCGTGGTGGGGCTCTTTGAGGGCAGGGCTCCCCCACCGGCCAGCTGGCTGGCAGCGGATTGGGGTCCCTGAATCAGGGGAAAACTCACCCCCATCGGGTGGATGGCAGCCCTAGGTTCCCATCTGTGCCCTGTGGAACAGTCACGCCTGACTTGTAGGTTCTCCCAGGGCCTTTTTTGCAGGAAAAGCCCAGCAGGAACTCATTAGCATAATAGGCCACACCCAGCAGCAGAAACCTATTAGCATATTAGGCCACACCCTGACAGTGCAGCTCATTAGCATGTTAGGCCACACCCCATGCCTCCCTTGGTTTGCCCGGGCACCCTGCAGCTGTGGGGAGCCCGGGCAAGCCCCCCCTTGAAGGGAAGGGAAGGCAGTTTAAACTGCCTTCCCTTGGCTTGCCCGTGCGCCCCACGGCTGCGGGGAGCCCGGGCAAGCT